ATTAGTTGCCTCAATTTCACTGCCCCTCTCAACAAATCCAACCTATCTCCCTCCAAACTGACTGCACTCCGTGCACTCAGATCTAACCCTGACTTTGTCATCAAGTCTGCCGATAAGGGTGGTGCTGTTGCTGTCTGGCGTACTGGCCTCTACCTTGCAGAGGCTGAGCGCCAGCTCTCAGATACCTCCTCCTACCTCCTGATCGTTAGCAACTCCTTTGTCTGTCCAACTGTCTTTCTCTCTCTTTGGGCTCTATCCTATCGTTTACTCCCTACCCCACCCACCTGCCTAGTTTCTGCATATAAACTGACGTTTTCCCAGCCACCATCAGTTCTGAGGAAGTGTCATCAGACCTGAAATGTTAACTCTGTTTTCTCCTTCACAGACGCTGCCAGGCCTGCTGAGCTTTTCCAGCAACTTTGTTTTTGTTCCTGATTTACAGCATCCACAGTTCTTTTGGTTTTTATTAAGGTCATGGCTAAGCTGATTATAGCCTCAAAGCCACATTCTCACCTACCCCCAATAACCTTGGTAAATGAGGTCCCAAAGACAGATTCATACCCAATATCACAGTTAGAAGACTATGTTAGTAGTGTTGATAGTGCCTTATTCCTTTCTAGGGTTGATTTCTTGAACGAGAACTGGCAAGTACATTAACATTATAGGTTAAACAAATATCTGCTTTTGTTGCACCAAATTGGTTATACAAATGTCAAGTGATGCCATATGGGTTAAAGAATGCTGCTACTACATTCCAGAGGCTTATGAATCACATCATCACTGAGATTCTTAACCGTGTAGTTTATTTAGACAATGTTGTGGTGTATAGTAACACATGGACGTTTATTAGAGCATTCAGCAGCTAATTGCACGGCCAAGAGCAGGCAGGCAGGAGCTTTTGTCATTAATAAATGGTCATTATCCCACACATCAATCTCTTACTTGTCGCCCGCCAAATCTCCATTTGTAAACAACCCCTGGCTCCTGGTCGTCTGTAACTTGGCTTTCCCCACTGCTTAAACCAACAGCTGTGAAACAAGTAGAAGATCTCTTTAACCAATTACAGTTGGCTGGTTTGGTAAAACATTTAGCCAAAAAATGTATTTCAAAAAGCAAGAGTAACCTACCAAGGACATATTGTAGGACAAGGACAAGTGTTGCAAAAGCCAGTGAACGTGAAGTTTCTAACAGAATGCCCTGCTCCTAAAACTAAATGAGAAATCATGAGATTTTTAGGAATGTGTACATTTTACAAGAAGATTGTGCATAATTTTAGCACAATAACTATCTTTAATACATTTGGTGAAGAAACAAGTGAAAACAGTATGGCCAGTAGATTGCTAAGCAACCTTTCAGAAGGTGAAGGCAGTCCTAACAAATAAACCAATGTTGTCACCCTGGCATTTTCCAACCCTTTCAAAATAGCAATTGATAGTAGTCACTTTTTTTGTTCTTGATTTACAGCATCTGCAGTTCTTTTGGTTTTTATTAATGTCATGGCAGAGTGGGTGGAGGTAAGTGCAGATTTGTTGTATGATGATGATTCAGAAGTAGAGAAGCCAGTGGGGGTACTTCTCTAAAATCTAAATCACTGTCTGAAGGAGTATTTTACCAAAGCAAAATAGACTTGTTGTCGGCTCTTTAGTACTTTGAAGTTATATCTGACATGGTAACAAGGAAATACGAATTTAAAGTTTTTGAGAAGATTTGTAGCTCGGGTTGCGGATGAGGTTGTAGACTTGCTCGCTGAGCTGATGTGTTTGATTGCAAACGTTTTGTCACCCTGCTGGGTAACATCGTCAGTGCACATCCAGTGAAGTGTTGGTGTTCTGTCCCGCTGGTTATTTATTTGTCTCATAACACCCATAAACGAAGCTGCATCAGAACGTTATTCAAATAAATCATAATACACTGCAGCAATCCGGAATTGCACAAAGCAGAACAAGAGCGCTTATATAGAGTTTTTCAAAGGAATGGATACCCAAAAAGCACAATCCACTGTTACCTCCGCAACAGAGCACAACAAGAAGCCACAATACGGCCAGACACACCAGTCACCCTACCGTACATCAGAGACATATCAGAGATGACCACAAGGCTACTCAGACTCCTAGATATCAGGGTAGTCTATAAACCAACAACCACCCTGCGACAGCTACTGACGAACGTAAAGGATCTCATTCTCACAACCAATAAAACTAATATACAAAATACCATGCAAGGACTGTGAGAAACATTATATAGGCCAAACTGGAAGAAAACTGACAATAAGGATACATGAACACCAACAAGCCACCAAGAGACATGACCAATTTTCACTGGTCTCAATACACATGGACAAAGAAGGACACAAATTTGAATAGGACAACACATCCATAATAGCAAAAGCCAAACAGAGACATGCCAGGGAATCCCTGGAGGCCTGGCATTCCAACCAGAACTCCATCCACAAACACATTGAACTGGACCCGATATACAAGCCACTGAAAAACAGAACCGGAAGTGATGCCAACCACCCCAGCAATCCGAGACATATAAATAACAAGCAGGACAGAACACCAACGTTTCACTATAGACACGCTGATGATGTTACGTAGCAGGGTGACGAAACATCTCCAATCAAACACATCGGCTTGGCAAGCAAGTCTACAACCAAAATACTAGTTTATGCTGATCATAATCCACAGGCCTTCCTGAACAGTTTGAGTATTTTCTTGCAACCACTAAAAGTAAAGATTATTCAAATTGCTGGACAAGGCAATTTCAGATGTATTGTCCTGAGTGTAAATGTTCAATTAGGTTAAAGATATAAAAAGTACTTAGATGATGTTGGAAGGAAAGACGGATGTAAATCTTTTGTTGTTTGTGTATCACAGATCTCGAAAGGAATGCATTTTTGAAATGGTGTTTTGTTGTTGTTAAGGGTGGAGGCATGTAAAGACGTTATCATTTGATTTTTCTAAATTGTTGATTACGGACTGAAATGGAAAAAGAATGGTTTAAAAGCCAAGGATTTTTGAAAGATTGCTACACTTTTAAGAACAAGTTCCCTGACACTCCTTGTTAAGAGCTGTTTACACAGCTGTTGGTTCAAGAAGTGGGTAAAGCCAAGTTACAGACGAGCAGAAGCAGGGGTTGTTTACAAATGGAGATTTGGCGAGCAACAAGTAAGAGATTGATCTGTGGGGTAATGACCAGGTCTTAATGACAAAAGCTCCTGCCTGCCTGCCAATGGCTGTGCAATTAGCTGCCCATAGCTGAACAGCTTGGAAGTGTGAATGCTTAGGGCAGAAGCCATCCAGAATGCAGGGAACCATTGTTGCTCTGTCATAAAGGACTTCTCAAACCTGAACTTTTTTTTATTCATTCGTGGAGCGTGGGTGTCACTAGCTTGATCAGCATTATTGCCCATTCCTAATTGCCTAGAGAGCAGTTAAGAGTTGACCACATTCCTGTGTGCCTGGAATCACATGTAGGTGAGGCCAAGTAACGATGACAGATTTACTTCCCTAAACGACATTAGTGAGTTAGATGGGTTTTTCTTGACAATCGGCAACTGTTTCATGGTTATCATCAGGCTATTTTTAATCTTTCCAGATTATTATTGAATACAAATCCCGCCACATCACCTACCATTGCTGGTTTATTTCTCATTATCAGTTGCTGTGACTTAATGAATAAGTGTATAAATATGAATCAGTCACCCTGTGTTGCTTGCAAACAAGTGAAAGTATCTGAAGAAGAAAGATTAAGAAGCAACATTTTGATCAGCTAAAGAATCATCTCAGCAAACCCTACGGACAGGGACCACTGAACTGCCTTCCCCCTCTTTCTCTTCATCCATTACACCCATTGTTTTTCTTTGAGTCTGTATGTACAGGAGGAATTGTATAAGTGGGTTAGAGTTTTGATTAGAAAATAGATATGCTCCAATTTATAACTATTTATCTGTAGTAAAATTCTATTTATTTGTAATAAATGGTAATCCCAATTAAGTACAGAAACCATGTTAAATTTGTCAAATTCTATATGTTTTAAAAATAATCTTCCACTTTGTGACGACTCCTGGAACAGCAGAGCATGATTTTCAGCTCACTTTCCCATTGAAGGGCTGACATACAGTCATACAGCACAGAAACAGACCCTTCGATCAAACTAGTACATGCGGACCAAGTTTCTTAAACTAATCTAGTCCCATTTGCCTACATTTGGCCCATATCCCTCTCAACCTTTCCTATTCATGTACTTATCCAAATGTCTTTTTAAATGTTGTAACTGAACCTGCATCGACCACTGGCTCTGGCAGTTCATTCCACACACAAACCACTCACTGTGTGAAAAGGTTGCCCCTCAGGTCCCTTTCTCCCTTTAGTTTTGAACTTCCACACACTAGGGAAAAGACGTTTGCTATTCACCTTATCTATGCCCCTCATGATTTTATAAACTTCCTTAAGGTCATCCCTCAACCTCCTACACCCCAATGAAAAATATCTCATCCAATTCAGCCTCTTCTTGTAACTGAAACACCCCAGTCCAGGTAACATCCTGGCAAATCTAGTGAAAACAACCCCAGCTCCTCATAATTCCTAACCCCTAATAGCACCTTAGTGGCAGGTATGGACTTTTTTCACGAAAAAAGGCGGGCAGCTCTTGAAACGATCACTTTAATGATCAAACTTGTCCCCAAATGTTTCTTTTTACTGATTTTAATGTCTCTGTATATATTATTGCTTGTTTTCTCTCGTCTTCAACCTGGTGCTATCTATGCAGGTGCCGTTACTTATCCAAGTAATTCCTTGTGTTAAGTCAGTAAAAGAAAAATGCCCAGACGTTCAGAGACAATTTAAACCATTTTATTCTCAACGTGAACCAGTCCTGCCTTAACATCCCTCTGCTGATTGGCTGGAGGCGGTCCCGGCTCTTTAATATCATTGGTTCATTGCTAGTTTGTTTCTAATATACCACGATGATTGGTTGTTCTCCTTGTCACTCATCGAACTTAACGAGATTCGTGGAGTTTGTTGTGTGTCTGTATTGGGGTTTGCAGTGGGTTCACTGTGTCTGTAGTTTGTGTGTGTGTGCACCGTTTGTACAGTGGGGTGTGAAGTGTGTGTCAATGTAGTGGAGTTTGCTGTCAATGGATATTCACGACAGGAAGCTTACAGAGCATTGACGGGACTCCTAGTACCTGAGCGGAGCGCGGGGTAAGTTCACTCTTTTTGGTCAACTCTGACACTTCTTGTGTGTGTCCGATGCAGGTTTGTGAATCCCCTAACAACAAACAGAGCATTGAGTGCCTGGTTATAATGACACAAGGACATTCTCCACAGTGTGCCATTCTATTCGGGTGTTCCCTCCCCACTCTCTCTCTCGGAGAGCAGGAACTCTGAGCTCGGACTGACTCCGGGCCACGAGAGGGGATACCGTGGGGCCTCAGCGAGCGAGCAGTGAGTGCTACATCTCCAACAGCGCACACTTGGCAACTACCAACCTTTCCTGCTTTTACATTCTGGATGTGAAACAATGTGCAGTCTGAAAGATGTCACAACGACCCCCCTCCACCTCCAAACACGTTGTGTTATTGACAACTTTGCAATACTGCCAGAACCGAAACGATACCTTTCATAAATTTAAATCGGCATTTGTTTTCGCCACAGCTATCAAACTGTCCTCCTAAATAATAGCGGTGGGAGCTAACGGTGTCTAATTATGAGTGACTGTTGCCTCAACTAGAAGATTATTCGTAAACTTCTGACCAGAAGGTAATATGGAAACTGACATAGTTCTGAACTTCAGTAAGGAACACTGCACTTTGTGCGTGTGGAAATAAAACAAAACCTAAAAGTATTTTGGCCTGTACGACAATAACTTTTTTACATGAAGAGTATAACCAACTAATAAAGTATTGTTTTTGCACGGTTAGACTCTATAGCTAATCAACACGAGGGTCGGTGTGGACTCGATGGGCCGAATGGCCTGCTTTCACACTCTAGATATTCCATGAACACAATTACAGTGTAATGGAATGGCTACAGCACTGAAGGCCATTTGGTCCACTGTGCCTAAGCTAGCTCTCTATAACAGTTACTCAACTATACCTATCCTTCCCCACCTTTTCCTGTAGATCTGTTTCGCCCTCTTCGGAAAGTTATCCTATTTGACAGTCACAACACATGATACCTCCTGCACTGTCGGCAGTACATTCCAGCTCCTAACCACTCACTGCATAAAAAGATATATTCCTCATATCAGCTTTGATTCTTTTGCCACCTTCTGTAGATCTGTGTCTTTTGGATTTTGATCTTTTTGCTGTGAAGACCTTCTCTATCTACAATTTTCAGACCTTTCATGATTTTTTTGAAAACCGCAATCAAGTCCCCTCTCAACCTTGACTTCTCAAAAGACAACAGCCTCAGGTTTGCCAATCGATTCCTGTAACTGAACTTCCTAATTTCTAGAACCAGTGCTTTCTATCATGTATGTCAGTAATAACTGCCTTCTCATCTTGCCTTGCTACCTTTGATGATTTGTGCACGTAGACCCATAGGTTCCCCTGCTACTACAGCTCCTTTGTAATTGCATCATTGTATGAATTTTCCCTTTCCTCATTCTTCCACCCAGGTCTTTACCCATTCCACTAGCCTGTCCTTGTCCTCCTGAAGCCTATCACTACCTTTCTCACAGTTCACAACATATTCAAATTTGGTGTTGACTCTAAGTTATGAAATTGAGCCGAGTACGTCCAAGTCTAGATTGAGAAAGCCAAAAATAAAATGTGTTTATAAAATAATTTTATGTAATAAAATTGGTCCTGAGAAACTTAGTTATATTTATATAGCATCTTTGATGTAGTAAACATTCCAAGTCATCTCACAGCAGCACTATCAAACTAATTTCTTCATAAGAAGGCATTGAATAGGTGACAAAGAGCAACTAGGGATGAGCAATAAATGCTGGTCAGCCAGTGATGCTCAGATCCCATAAATGAGTAAAAAATGACCACAAACTTGGTAACAGAGATTTTAAGGGGCACCTTAAAGGAGGGAGAGGAAGACGTAGCTAAAGACAACTCGGAATGTTCAAGAGGTCAGATTGGTGCAGAGCAGAAATTACTAAGGGCTCATGGAGGTTCCAAGATAAGGGGGCAGCTTCAGAGTGATCAGAAAGCAAAGCTGAGCATTTAGAAATCGAGACATTGCTGGACCAGGAGTCCATGTTGTTCAATGAGCCTAGGAGTGAAAGAGATTAAGAACAGTTGGGAGGTTTGGATGAGTTTCAGCTTATGGAGGGTTGAAAATGGGAGGCTGGCCAGCTAAATGTTGGAATAGTGAAGTGTGGAGATAACAAAGGCATAAATTAGAGTTTTGGCAGAAGGTGGGGCAGACGCTGAAAGGGCACTGTTATGGAATCGGTTGTAATCTTGGTGATGTTGCAGATATCTGGTCAGAAGCTCATCAGAGGATCATGTAGGATGCTGAGATTGTGAATAGTCTGCTTTTGTCAGCTGTCAGGTTCAATTACAAACAGTGACCCACTGAGAGGGATGGAGTCAGTGGCTAGAGAATAGAATTTGCAGTGGAGACAAAAGACAGTGGTTTCAGTCATCAAAACATTTAGTTGGAGAGCAATCCTGCTTATTTGGAAGTGGGTACTTGACAAGCAGCATGGCGAATCAGATATAAAGGAGTTGACAAGTGATGGGAAGGTAGAGGTAGGTTCTGTCATTATGTGTGAAAAGTCTTTCATTTTGTTTCTGGATTATTTTGCTGACTGTACATGAGAAATGGTGATACTCAAGGATAGACCTTTGGAGGACTCCAGCAGTGACAGTGCAGGACTAGCACGAGAGCCAATTGCAGATAGCATCTTGTCCATGGCTGAAGAAATAAGAATGGAAACAGGAGAAATCAATCACTTAGGATAATAGCAAGTTTAAAAAGAAACTTTCGTTAGTCTATGTCAGATGAACTTTGACAGCAGTGTTCCATATTTCTTTCAACCTGTCCATGATATGATTGTGTCTTCCAACCATGATATGATTGGAAGCAGCTGGGAATGGGTGCTACTTATACTGACGACATTGGGTGAGGTTGGGGAAGGAGCGGAGATGATGCTGAGAGAAAGGAGAGGCAAACAAAGGGAATGCAGGTGATAAACCAAGAAGGAGATAAATGCTGCGTAGGGAGCGAATGAGAAGTGTGAATGGGTTGACTGTGCTGGGACAACCCATACAAAACAGGAGCTTGGCACATGGAGCTGGGTAACAAAAAGGAGGAGGTGTTCGTGTTCTGAAATTGTTAAACTCAGTGTTGAATTCTGAGGACTGTAACATACCTCTGTGGAAGATGAGGTGCTGTTCCTCCAGCTTTCGTTGCTCTTTGCTGGAATACTGCAGCAGGCCTGAGACAATGTTGGCCGGGAACATGGTGGTGTGTTGAAATGGCAGGTAGCTGGAAGCTCAAGGTCATTTTTATGGTCAGAGCATAGGTGATTGGCAAAGCATTCATCCATTCTGAGTTTTGTTTCTCCAGTGTAGGGGAAATTACATTGTGAGCAGCAACTATAGTAGCCGAGATTGAATGAAATGCAGATAAATTGCTGCTTCACCTGGAAGATGTGTCTCTGGCCTTGGGTGGTGAGGAGGATGGAGGTAAATTGGCAAGCATTGCATATTCTGCGATTGCATGCAAAGGTACCGTGGAGGTGTGAGAAAGTGTTGGTAGTGAAGGAGAAATGTACCAGGACATTCCCTCTTTGTTTAAGTGAAGTTAAACAAGAAGCTGGAGAAAATGTGAACACAGTCTGCATGAGAGGTGAGGATGGCCATACGAACATTTCAGATGAGGCCTAATTTTGTTTTTAACTCATTCATGGGATGTTTGTGTCTCTGGGAAGGCCAACATTCATTGCCCAGCTTTGACTGTCCTTGCACATGAAGAATCAAAAGAATGTTCGGATAAGGCAGGGTGAGAGGTTAGAAATAATGTAGCCAAGGTAGGCAACTATTCTTCAGTTCCCATGTTAAATACTGTAGTACATTTTATCTTTAAGTTCCGTTACAAATTTTGATGTGAAGTATATGGCACCACAGAGGTCTACAGCACAGGTAAATGCCCTTCGGCCCATTGAACCTGCTCCAGTCCAAAACAATTGCCTAACTATTGTAAATCTCTCACTAGTTCCCATTATAAATGTGCACATGGGAATTTATAAAACTGAATGTAGTAAAATTTTGAAAAAAAAAATTACACCACTGATATTATTTCAAAAACCTAAACACACAGTTCATATAAATAGGATTTAAATTTACCTACCGAATTGCATTTTATCTTTCAATGCCTTCTTTATGTTTTTACTTTCAAGGCTCAAGCTTCTCTCAAATCTCTGGGCTTTGATTAGGTGTTCTTTTTTCTGTCAGGTAGACAGTTGAAACTTATTGCAACTTCCTTTTGCATTTTGAGCATGTGCATTTTGCAGAATTTCCCCAAGTACGTATCGTCAGGAGTGAAAGAATAACAGGAGGATTGAAGTTTCAATGTATTTTCAAACAACTTATAAAGAAAGTAAAGATCGAATCATCAGTAATTTCAGCCAAGAAACATTTGTTATTGTGGCTTATTTCATGATTAGAAGTGAAAAAAGTGTATTTAGAGAGAATAGGTTACTGCCTATCAACATTGAAAGTTCAGTTCACAACCATTTCCCTTCACAAATGTTTTGTATGGCTTAGGCAGTTTTTTTAGAATTTAGAAATTGTAAAAGTGAACTTTGGATTATTAAATATGACACTTCTGTTTATGTTTTTATAAGAAACTTTGCTATTGAAATGTTCACATCTACCTGCATCCGAGACACATGGCATACTTGTAAATAATACTTTAGAATACATAACATTTCTTTTAAAACAGAACAGAAATTTTAAAGTTGGATGCCTTTATCACAAGAATAAGCTGATGAAATTGATGGGCCAGCTATCTGCATCATGTATGCTTTGTTGGAACTTGGCATTGATCAGTCTAACCAGCAATTGTTGAATCAAAAGGCTTTCAAAATTAATGTTGTGGAGTCCGGAAAATCCACGATGTTGCTTCTGGCCGGACAGAGATTCATTTTTCTTGCAATGCCCACCTTGGTGATCACCTCTATATCCACCAATGTTACCCCTCCCCAAAATATACTTGGACTGTCTGTTGATGGAATTTAAATGAGGCCTGACCATAGGGGACAGGAATAGGCCGTTTAGTCCCTCAAATGTGTTTTAAATTTTAGTTAAAACATAGTTGAGTTGTATCTGAACTCTTATTGCCTTTCTTGTGTGTTTTTTTTTAATTCATTCATGGGACATGGACGTTATTGGCTGGCCAGCATTTATTGCCTGTCCCTAGTTGCCCTTGAGAAGGTGGGGGTGAGCTACCTTCATGAACCACTGCAGTCCACCTTCTGTGGGTTGACCTACATTGCCCTTAGGGAGGGAATTCCAGGATTTTGACGCAGCAACAGTGAACGAATGGCAGTATATTTCCAAATCATGATGGTGAGTCATGATGGGAACTTGCAGGTGGTGGTTTTCCCATGCATCTGCTGCCCTTGGCCTTTTTGTTGGAACTCGTCATGGGTTTGGTAGTGGCTATCTAAGGATCTTTGGTGCGTTTCTGCAGTGCATCCTGTAGATAGTATACACTGCTGCTACTCAGCATCAGTGGTAAAGGAAGTAGATGGGGTGCCTGTCAAGTGTGCTGCTTTATCCTGGATGGTGTCAAGC